TGCCGCGTGCTAAGTAAACGTGTTCCTTTTTAGTATCTGGCTGGGCCTGGGGGAGACGTGGCCGCTGGAACCGAAGGCGTAGCAGTAGAGTCAGCACAGGGAACGGTAATTATACGTCAGTTTCAAATAGGTTCATCATATAGGTTAAGACTAGAAGTAAGGATTAATGCTTACGAACAAATCCCCTGTCTTTGCGAACGCGAACCCATGCGACCCCTTTGAGTAGATAATAATATAGTCAACAAGGGCAAGCAAACAGGTTATAAATTCGTTCAATATAAATTATGATCTTGTCATGGTTTTGTCACTTTTCTAGGCGGAAATCAGAAACTCTGCTTTGCGCAGATTTGCTCCAGCAATCCTTCTAACAGTATAAGAGGATGGGATCGACGCGGAAGCGGAGCGTGGAAAGCACCAAGGTAGACGGTCTCTTTTTGACCAAAATAGTTCTTCACGCGTTCCTGCCCACGCGTAAGGAACCACCTAAGAACGTCTGCGTGGGAGGCTAAGCCAAAATCGGTCTGATTATATTTCCCCCGGGTAGACTACGAGTAGTCCCTCATTTGTCCTCAGGGATATTAGAGCGAGCGAAACGCGAGCGCGCGTGAAAATCACCCCACACGAGAAAAGGCGACACGGGGCGGGGAGAGAGAAAAATTTTTCTCTCTCCCCACCGCGTCTCGCCTTTCTCGCGTGGGGCTATTTCACGCGCGTTCGGGTTTCGCTCGCTCTACTATCCCTGAGGAAAAATGGGTAACTACTCGTAGTCTATCCCCCGGGGCACTTTCTTATTTACCCTGGTTGCCAGAGGCTTTTCATGCGCAAAGGCCGAAGACGTGTCGGCCTGCGGCCGACGAAGCTCCTCGTCGCGCGAGTAAAAAACCTCTGGTACCCAGGTTATCTCTTATTTGGCCTGTATAGAAATGAGCCGCTGAAAAGGGTATTAATGGTGGTTTTCAGGGTCTTGAGTCTTAAACAAACAGGGTATACAATTTTATTGTTGAGCGTCTTGAATAGGGTGTCTTTTTGGAGCGTTATCCTTTAAGAGCCGAAGTGTGGGGGCTAGTGATGAGTTTTCTACATTTGTGGTACCAAGTAACATTTTTTCCCATATAATATACACACAAAAATTTATTAAATCTGAGTGGCTGATAGCCTGAATTTCAGACGATTACTTCGAGTCGTTTTTACTCCCCCAGTCACTTCTGAATCGACCGCGGCAGTTACCTTCGAATATAAACATTCGTATGGGGAAAAACTATTGTTTAGGATTTAAGTAAAATCGGCTTACCTCACTTACCCTGTGTGGTTTCTGAGCCGACCTATGGCCATTTATGGGTTTTATTGGAACTGGTTTGTTCTCTCTATAATCTATGATATTAACTGTCTTGCTTTAAAAAACTGAACTGCGCCTTAAGCCAGGTGTAATATATGATTATGGTTTGTACCGGCACTGTAAATCATCATTTTTGATGGTTAAAAAAACAAAAAGTGAAAAAGACATTTTTTGGGATGCAAAACTTTGACGCTCCCATAAGATTCTTTTAAACCTTACCAAGGTAAAGACAACGGATTACACTGTTAGCACACTAAATGATAATTTAACAGATAATGATGGCTAGATTTCGTGAAATTTCCCAGTTTAAAGATTTCATGTCATCGTTATTATGTTTCTATTGAAACGGCGAAAAAATACTCTAAAATTCAGCTCAATGTTAGACATGTTGTTTCACTTTGTGGCTTTTTCGTACATGAACTACACTAAGCCAAAGTTAGGGGGCATAAAACACGAAGTGGTGAGAACTTAAACAATGGGTGCGAGCCTAATTATGTTCTATTGCAGAGAAGGTAGCCGTCACTATGGCATTGACATCATTTGTGATGCTGGGTCCTCTGTCTATTCACCTTTTCCTGCTCAAGTAATTAGGATAAGTAAACCCTATGGAAATGGCAAGCCACATGACACCGGTATCTACATAAAGGGAACTGGAGCTTGGATCGGTAAATATTTTTAAATAATGGCAAAAACACTGAGTGAAGTCCGACTCAGTCGTAATCGTGCTCTTGTGATTAGTTGCGAAATCGTCCAGAATTAGTATAGGTAATACCATGATTTGTAGTGATATTAGGCGTAAATACCACGAGTCATATTTCGAAATTGTTATACGTAATTTCGCGAGCCGTTAGGCGAGTGAAATTTGAGACAATTTTGAAATATCACGAGAGGTATTTATGCCAAATATCACGTACAAATCATGCTATTATTTGTTTATACTATTACCCGTAAAAGGTTTGTAATTATCACATGTAGGTATTTCAAATTAAGTGAAATACCACTGCTCTAAGCCAATCAAATTGCAGAAATTTCTCATGTAGTTGTAAAATAAGCAGAAACCGTAGCTCCCGTTGAATTGAATGTTCGACTTATATGCTGAATTGAATTTTTGGACTTGCAGGTAAATAAAGACAAAAACGAAAACGAAACCTCGAGCTCTCATTCTTTAGCTCAGAGAACAAACCAGGCAACAGATCAGGACTGAACAAATGAAGGGCTACTCGTCTAATTTTGAATGCCACATTTTCTTGCTAGTAATTTTACAAGTAATTACTTTTAAATACCGATTCCTATCTAGGCTACAGGGTAAAGATGTTTTACGTGTCAAAAGAGATCCGCGATGGTGCCTCTGTTTCCGCGGGGGGGCGGATTGGCTCCATGATAAACATGGCCGCTCAATTCTCACCTGGTATGACAAATCACATCCACGTGACGCTTTACAAAAATGGACAAGAAGTGAATCCAACCCCTTATAAATGCTAAGGTAAAGCTTTTTTCACTAATACGTACTGATACAATTTTTATATTTTTTCGTTTATACAACTTTCCCCCGAAGAGGAAATACCGTAAAATTCCGAAAATATGCCCGTCCAAATATAAGCCCCCCACAATCGTAACGCAAAAAACCCTCCGTTAAATCGCCCCTCCAAATATAAGCCCTCCGGGGGGCTTATACATGGAATTTGCTCTCGAATACAAAGTAAAATAAAGCAAAAATGGTAAATTTCCTTCCCACTACCAGCTAGCCCAATCGATTTTGAAACGCAAATTTCCCTTCGTACATAAGCCCCTCCGAATATAAGCCCCTCCAAAAATAAGCCCTCCAAAAGGGCCATTAAAAAATATAAGCCCCGGGGCTTATTTTCGGAATTTTACGGTAGTGGTTGATATAAACGTACGGAGAGGAGCACCCTCCGAACGTTACCATAGCAATTTTGTTATTTCACGTGTGAAATTATAAGTTAATACCGAAATTTCGCGCCAAAATTAAGGCGTAATTGTCACCCATGATATAAGGCTGAACAATTTTTCAATGTATCACAAAACCAGTCCCACTTAGACAACAAAACAGAACAACCAAAATATGGAGCGTTATTATGAAAAATCTGAATTTCATTCTATTACTGATTTTAATTTCGTTTTCAAGGTTCTACAGTTCTCTGCCTGGGGGTTACCTCAATAAACAAGCAAGACTAAAGAGCTGGAACTCTTCATTTTGAACACACAAACAAGAATAAGGAATTAGGAACTAAAGGATTTGCCATGCCAGACATAAATGTAACTGAATTAACTAAAGGAATAAGGGCAAGCTAGAAAGCCACGGTAATAAAAGTAGTACATTTTTACCGGCTACAAATTCATGATTTTTACGGTTAAAAGGTTGAAAATAGGTCCTTTCCAGCTAGTAATTCACGTGGTACAAAACCGCCATGCTGGAGAGCAAGTATTGGGACAAGACAAATTAACAAAGAGCTTATATCATTTAAAACGGTAATTCCCTTTGTTTGTCTTCTCCCAGTGCGTTTCTTGTTCTCCAGTACGGCGGTTTTGTACCACGTGAATGACTAGCTGCAAAGGATCTATATTCGCCTCTTTGAGCTTGCGCGGGAGCCTGGACGAGATGGTTGTCAAAGTGCATTGTGGGACTGTTTTAGGGGACGCATATTCAACATGGCGGCAAATTCGTCCCCCAAAACAGCCCCACAATGCACTTTGACAAACATCTCAACCCGATCTCCCACGCAACCTCAAAGAGGCGAATTGAGGGTACGCAGCCTCGCCCTCCCAGTCTTTACAAAAGCAAAAAACCGTGAACATCTGGAATCTTCCAGGATTGGTGAATTCCAGGATTGGTGATTGTGTAGGCACCAGTTATAACAAAGATCAGAACACAAACAGACCATAAAACAACAAATTTATTGTCGTTGCAGCTTGTGGTTTGGTTTCCTCCCAAGCCGGATTGGCTCGATTTATCCTAACATTCAAAAACATCCCAGAAATGTTTGTGATGTTTTCAGTGTCACACGAGGTGCACTCCGCTCTCGTTCCCAGGGTCTCTCGGTTTATGAGTTTGTTATCTATATAGGGGACATACTTTAAGGCTTTCGCCTAAGATTCAAGCACTCACTATCATTCCCGCGTCCATTTCTTGCTGCTGAAAGAAAAAATCATAAATTGGATAACTAAATACTGTTCAAAATCTTTCCAAGTTCCAACGGATACCATTTCCATGGATGTCAGCTTTTCAAAAAGCTTGTTTACCCGTTGTTTCATGTTAATTTCTGCTGATGTTCAATCAAAATAGAAATAACCTGCAGCTAGACCATTAAAGGCTCCGTTAAAAAAAAAAAGAAGATGAAAATGTACGATTAAAAAGGGAACGGAGCGGTTGAACGGAGCGCAGTTCTTCAAGGAAAAGTTAGCTGAAGTTAAATCTGCAGCGGCTTACTGGAATTTAATTGCAGAAGCGACAAATCCTGTTAGAAGAAACAGAATTGGATCTTTAAAGAGGGAGGATGGAAGCCTTGCCGTTAACGACGTAGAAAAGGCTAACCTAATAAATGATTTCTTTGCCAATATCGGCACTAGACTTGGACGAGCCAATAGAAATTTTCCACACCAGAGCGATCGCATCGGTTGTTTAGTGCCCTCTGTGACTGATATCACCATCTGCGAAAAGTCGGTCCGACGTAAATTAAAAGCCATTAAGCCAAATAAATCCGCTGGTCCTGATGACATTGCACCTAAATTATTAAAACTAGCTGAGCCTGCCATTGTCTCTCCCTTGACTGGTCTATTCTCATTCTGTGCTCACCTCGGAGAAACCTTTACTGATTGGAAGAAAGCTCGTCTGATCCCGGTGTATAAAAAAGACGATGAAGCTGACACAAATAACTATAAACCAACATCGCTTCTTAGTGTTCCAAGCAAGATAATCTAATCTTGTGTATCAGAACCTGTCGTTCGACATGTTTTCCAAAATAACCTGGTTACGCCGTACCAAGAATGTTTGCCGATGACACCAACCTTAGCTGTTGGCTGAAAGCTAACAAGCTCAGTCTAAATGTTGCTAAAACAGAGCTAATGATTATTGGATCAAGACAAAGACTATCTGCCCAATGTGACGATGTAGAAATCAGAATTGATGACCAAATTATCAAGAGAGTCGATCATACCAAATCCTTGCGTCTTACCATAGATGCGCAACTCTCTTGGGGTAAACACGTTGAAGAGGTTTTCAAGAAAGTCTCTTCAGCTATAGGCGCGCTAAAACGTGTGCGGCCGTTTTTATCCAAAGAAACTGCAATTCAAATTTATAATGCCTTAATTATGCCTCATTTTTATTACTGCAGCCCCGTCTGGGACTGTTTGAGTGGTTACTTGAGTGATAAGCTCCAAAAAAAAGAGAATCGTGCAGCCAGAGTTATTACTAAATCACCCTTTGATGCGAGCTCAAACCACCTTCTCTCCACCCTCAGCTGGGAGAAGCTGTCTCTTCGACGAAAGAAACAAAAAGCCTTAATGATGTATAAAACCATGAATGACCTTGCTCCGGAATATCTACTACAAAGTCTTTTCTCTCAGCGTCACTCTGCTTACAACTTAAGAAACTGTGAGGGAAGGCTGACCCTGTCCAAACCAAGCACCAATTATTTGAAACGAAGCTTCTCTTACAGCGGGGCCATGTTATGGAATAACTCGCCCAAAAACTTAAAAAATGCTGCATCCGTTGAGCATTTTAAGCGAAATATCAAGAAGGTAGCTGATTTATCGGATTCCCACACGGCAATCATGTAAAGCAGTTGTAATTAGTTTTAGTTTTTAACTTAAGCTTAACTGATGATTTCCCGTGTTTAAATAAAGATTTACATACAGACAAACAGTGGGCTTACCGTGAGGGGCATTCTACTGAACTATTGCTTGTACACCTGTCTCAAATCTGGAGAACAGCTATTGATGCCGATAAAGTGGTTGTTGTGGCGTTTGTTGACTTCAGAAAGGCTTTTGACTGTGTATGTCATGCTATCCTACTGTATAAGCTGAATTTTCAATTTGGAGTTCAAAGTTGTCTTCTATCATGGCTGACAGACTACCTAACTGATCGAACTCAATTCTCGGTAGTAAACGGCCAGCACTCAACTGTGCTAAATGTCACTTGCGGGATTCCCCAAGGATCAGTACTTGGCCCAACGTTGTTTGCCTTGTACACCAATGACCTACCAAGTGCTGTTACCTCTGGCTCTGTCTTTATGGACGCAGATGACACCACCGTTTATTACATCGGGGACACTGTTTATAACACTGTCACTAGAGAACTCTTTAACCCCTCACTCGGCAAAGTGCGAAGCTATGCTGTCGATGAGAAAACCGCACATCGGGCCGCTGAATTCTATGACTATTGGAGAGGATCGGATCGATTGGGTGAAACACTCTCGTCTTTTGGGCGTTACTACCGATGAGAGGCTTTCCTGGTCACGTCACCTTACAGATGTAAAAAAGAATTTCGTAAACAAACTGAACCTCCTGAAAAGGAGTTCGTTCTTGAGCAGAAACGCAATATTGGACTTGTACTTCAAGATAATATTACCATCAGTTCTATATGGACTAGTCGTTTGGGGCGGCTGCCCTAATGCAGAGCTTCTACATTCTCTGGAAGTACTTCACCGTAGGGCAGCCAGAATTATATACAACTTGCCCCGAGATATGCCTACCGAGGAAGTTTACCGACATTCGAACTGGAATACTTTAACCCTCTATTATAAACTTCGATTAATCAAACTACTCCATAGCGTGTTTATAGGTGAAGCACCTACGGCTCGTTCATACTTGACAAACAAACCCTGCACTGCATACAACTTCAGAAGGAGTAATAACATGATCGTCCCGCGTAACTCACAGTGCCTATTAGCTATAGAGGCGCTATTCTTTAGAACGCTGTCTCGAGTCATTTTACAGACCAGTTTACTGTTTTTTATCGCAAAGTGAAGAAGGACTCTTATTTTAAGGAACTTGATTTTAGCACACAGTCGGTCCAGTCGCAGCCCAGGCACTACCAAGATTTTAAATGCTTTTAACTATTTTTTTGTTTTAAATGCTGTAGTCAATTTACTTAGAGGTAACTAATGTAAATTCATTTTAACCTTGTATTTTTTTAAAAATTTATTCTAATTTATTTCTTTCTTTACTTTTTGGTTAGAATATTACTGTATATTTTTAGAGCTTTAATTGTAGTTGTATTTTGTAAGTAATGTTATTCTTATTTTTATACAGTTGTATCCATTTGTAATCATTTTTACACGAACCCACAAGCTTTGAGCTTTAAACCTTATCGTGTTTAAATAAAGGATATGTATGTATGTATGATAAAAATACTGCTTTCGCTTGAATGTTCTTGATGTAAATTAATTTTTTAACATACAGGGCCCCTATGGAGACCAGCCTTAGAGCTGAATGGGCTACCCTGTGTAAATAAAGTTTTACTT